GCCTGGGCATGGACGAGCATGGCTACTGGCTGATTCACAATCGGATCCCGATTCTGAGCTCGCCAAATCTAATTGCGAAAAGCGACTGAGCACGAGGTGACGACCATGCAGTTCACCGACTTGTTCTCAGACGGCGGGTCAGCCCGATCGCGAGCTGGACAGAGAGGTTTCATAGGCCTTCGAGGACATCAATATAATCCAGCACAAGATGATCAGCTGCCAGATCAACCACATGATCAAACGCCAGATCAACATCAAGGTCAGCAGCCTCCAGAATGGCAGCAATAATCGCATCGGCAGCTACCTGGACAGCAAGAAGTTCCACAACAGCAGCCAGTGCAAGGACAACCAGACACACCAGAAGCAGCACCAGCTCAAGGTGGCGCGGGGCATCCGAAGCAGACGGACAGCAGACAGAGACGATCGGATGTGGTAGACGACAATGACGCGATGCCGATGCGTCAGGGGCTTGACGATGAGTACGAACCAGTACCAGCTGATCAAGATCAAGCAGAGGAGGATCTACGAACGCGACTACGTCGAGCACACCAAGCCTGGGACACCATCCTGGGAGCACCGGCATCCAGCAGCCAGGGCAAGACAGACCTGAGGCAACTGGACAACGTCAGGAATGCACCTCTACTACCCGACCTGGCACCAGGGTATCAGATCGGGAGGAGGCGGGTGTTCAATTTGGACACGCGCGACCTGCTTCAGAACATCTCGAGGGTGGACTGGATAGCTAACCCTCAGATCATCGACGACGTGGTGGCACAGCAACCGATCACGGTAATCGTGGAGATCACATCGAGAAAGGAAGGAAGAACTGAAGATGGACCGGGAAGTGACCAACAACCTGCAGCCTCACAGCCTGGACCTCCAAGCGGTGGCAACACTGACGAGATCATGGAGGACCCGGGGCAGCCACAGAAGTGAAACGCGGTGGCGAAAAGCCCTCGATCAAGAAGGACCTGAAGCTCAAGCAGATCAAGAAGGACGATGCTCACGATGAGCGAGCTCAACTCCATGTAGCTGCCAGTGTCCAGAGGCACACGGAGAAGCGCAATAACGCAGGCGAGACGGCACCAGCACCGACACCAGCACCGCAAGATCAGCAAGGGACGGCAACATCGAGCACAAGACAGCCGGATCAGCAACGAAGCAGCAAGCGCCAGGAGCATCCCGCGGCGCTCAAGGTGCTCCTTCTGGACGACGTGCCCATCAGCATCATGCGTGCGAAGGGGCAAACGGGACCAGTCAAGCAGCTGGCGGAGACGCCACTCCTCGTTGAAGCATTCGCGGCCGAACGGGCGCGCACCCAGCCGACGAGGGCCAACAAGCATCAAGAGATCAACCTGAAGACGCACGGCGGCGACAAGCCCAAATGGAAGATGACGCAGGGTGCAGTGGAGAAGGAGTGGGGCACCTGGTGCAGATACGATGCAGCAACCCACATATGAGGAGCAGCGGTTAAGAAGATAGAACCCGGACAAGATCCTAAGCTCCAAGGTGGTCTGGACGGACAAGGACCCTACGACCTCTGAGCCGAAGGCGAGACTATGTGGACGAGGCTACGAGGAAGAGTTCGACGACAAGCTACGCCGAGACGCTCCTACAGTCTCAGCACAGATGACGCTACTTCTGCGCAGTATCGCAGCAAGGCTCAACTTGGACCTAGCCGCCGCAGACGTGAAGGGGGCCTTTCTACACGGCCAGGCGATCACGCGCGAGCTCTACTTTCGGATCCCAACGAACCTTGGGAAGTGCACCGCCCCAGGCGTTAAGGCAGGCGACCTGATGAAGCTTATCGAGAGCATCTACGAGACCAACGATGCGGCAAGAGCTTGGTGCGCGGCGCTGCGCGAGACGTTCGTGAAGCTTGGATGGGAAGGCCTGAGCTTCGAGCCCGAGACCTTCATCAAGCGCAACGCGAGGAACACGATCACCGGGATCATGCGTCTACACGTGGACGACTTCCTCATGGGCAGCAATCGCGACGACACTGAGGGCGCCAAGATCATGAAATACCTTCAGAAGGATATCGATTTCGGCGAGGTCAAGTAAGCGAGAAAGGCGAAGGCGACGTTCTGTGGCCGGGCCTACCAACAGGACAAGGACGGCAGCATCAACGTCACCATGGAGGCCTACGCGAAGTCTATGCAGACTGCACGTATCTCCTGGGAGCGCAGCAAGGCACCTGACAGTGCACTTACCCCTGCAGAACATCGAGGACTACGAATGGTGGTTGGACAACTGCAGTGGGCTGTGCGGATGATTTGCTTCGAAGAGGCTTTCGAGGTATCCCGATTGGCATCGACGCTGGGAGCTCCGACAGCGAAGGACCTACAAGACGGGAATGCAGCTATCAGGAGAATCCAGAAGCGGGGCGATCTCCTGATTAAGTTCACAGCTGGCCTGAACCTGTGGAAGACCATCGTGATCAACGTGACCGACAGTGCTTTCGACAACCTGTCGAAGCACAGATCGCAGCGGGGACGCTTCATTATGTTAAGTGACGAGAAGATCAACGAGGACCAAGGCAATAAGTACAAGGTACACTGCATTGGGTGGCAGTCTTCAGAGATTCACAAAGAGGTGCGATCTACTCTATCGGTGGAGGCATACTCATGTGCAGATTCGATGGATATGTTGATTTGGACAAGGTCAACCCTAGCGGGCATGACGTACCCAGACATAGACGTGGCCGAAGTCGTGCAGGACACCAGCCCAGTGAAATGCATTTCGGCGGCCGACTGCAAGAGCCTGTGTGACACGATAACCAAGGAGAAGGTCTCTATGACCGATTGGAGGCTTTCTCTAGAGGCGGCTATATTACGTCAGTCACTTAATTACGGAGGTCTGCATCAAGTGGGTTAAGAGCGAGCAGATGCTAGCGGACTGCTTGACGAAAGTGCTTCCAGGAGACTACGCGAGAAAGATTGTGATATCCAACTTGTGGACTCTTGGGCCTGATGACAGAGCACCATCAACACGCGGACAAAAGCTTGTTGGACCAGAGAAGGTAGCAGCCAACAAGGAGGTCGACGACCTGAACGCGAAGATGACAAGTACGTCAAGCAGGAGCTGTACGACGACACCGAGGGGAACGATGAGATATCTACCTGGCCAGTGGAGACGTACAACGACGTGGCCGACTGCTTCTACGACGAGAAGGACGAGACTTATGACGAGACCGCGTATGTCGAAGCATTCTACATGGACGATGCGACGGACAACTAACCAATGGAAAGAAGTGGCGCGCAGCGAACCATCCAGATACCTGACCAAGTTGCATTTCTGCTTCAATTCTGTGCACTCGCAGTGTATGGGGTTTGTCTTTCGATGTCTCCTGCGGTGGTGACGTTAGTCTCTATCATCGCGGGAATCATCACGTTCATCTGCATAATGCAGCCTCAGCAGAGCGACGACGAGGACTTCGGCATGGAACCGATGGAGGTGGATAGATCAAGCAGCGACAACCTCTTCCGGACGGAGTTGCCCAGCAAGAGGGCGAAACCAAAGACGGCTACACTACGAATGAAGGCGGAGCCCGAGGTGGAGACTTACACCGGCGAGATCACAGAGGATGGGCAGATCTACCTGGGGGACAGTGCTCTCCTGAGGCAGTGGCTGACTACACTGAGGAGATGCGCATCAAGAGTGGCAACTACGAGGCCGACAGCTTCGCAGCAATATACAGCAAGGACAAGCACTACGCCAATTGCTTGGGCCGGTGTCTGAAGCTGGACGCAGACGAGAGCAGGAGCTACAACCTCGACCCGAGCAGCAAGACCTACATAGCCTACAGCATCATCAAGTCAGCTCAGGTACTCTGAGATTCACGACCAAGTATGGTTTGACGATGGGTGGTGGAAGAGATGATGCGTGCACCATCTCAAAAGCTCAGATAAAAATGTGATATCCTGATACCTGTTGCTCGGTGCACTGGCGGCGGTTTTGCCGGTCGAGCCGACGAGAATATTCCTGAATTCTAGAAGCTTGCTGCAGAATGTGCTACGCATTCTTTAGCAACGTTTCATTTTCCTGTGTGAAAATCAGGTGGGCAGGGATGTGATATTTAGGATGATAATGCGAATTATCTCTGCTGTTGCTGCTTTGGCTCGCTCGTGCTGTGTGCAGTATCCCTCTCGCCCGCAACCCTTGTGACTCACAAGCTGGGCGGGAGGGTGGACGCACCTACTCACGTGTGGTTTGGGTACAGAGATAAAATATGTGATTTCCTTTCTATCTTGTGTTTGCATCAAGTACTGGTGGGAGGGATCTTGTCATCTATATTTACACAAGAGAGCCCCCAGGAGGGCCCCAAGAGGCGATCCTGGTGGCCCCGGGGGGGGGAGGAAATCGGGAACCCCCTCATTTGGTCGACGCCCTATAAGATAGCCACAAGAGGCCTTACAGGGCTCCCCAAAAGGGCCCCAAGCGGGGAGAGGGAGGGGGGGGAAACGGCCAACAGAGCGCCACAAGAGCGCCCCAGAAGCGGTGTGCCTCCTCTTCCTCCTCCTCCTCCTCCTCCTCCTCCTCCTCCTCCTCCTCATCCTCCTCTTCCTTCTCCTCCTCCTCCTCCTCCTCCTCCTCCTCCCCCTCCTCCTCCTCCGCCTCCTCCTCCTTTTCCTCCTCCTCTTCCTCCTTCCCCTCCTCCTCCTCCTCATCTTCCTCCTCCTCCTCTTCCTCCTCCTCCTCCTCCGCGGGCCCCAGGGATGGCCCCAAGAGGCCCTCTAATGTTGCTCCCAGAGATCCATCTGTTCATCCTGGTTGCCCGATCTGTTTCACTATGTGTTGTTCTTCCCGTTCCCCGTCCAATTTCATGGGCAACGTTTCTGAACGGGCTGGTGGGGATATGCGAAGCGCGAAGAATATTCCAGTTACTGTATTTCGCCCCTCTCTTCCTTCCTGCCTCCCTCCCTCCCTGTATGCCCTCCGCACAGGCTCTCCTGCCGCCGCCCTTCCATCCTGTCGTTCTTCTGCCACGCACCCGCTGCCTCCTCTGCCAAATCCAGCTGGGGCCGCTCCAACTTCCAGCCGTCCACGTCGTTTGCGTCCAGGGCCCTGGCGCCTCTGTCCGCCTGGGCCTGCACGGGACGGACTCAAGTTCGCTCGAGCCTGGGTCGACTGTAGTTTCGGGCTTGACCATAAAGCGAACGCAACAACACCACAAAAGCCCGTCTATGCGAAGGCTGGCGCTGCTGCCGTCAGATGTGTGCGTGTACCTTTGGGGCAGTGTCCCCACCATTCGGCACAGCGTTACTTATGGCTTCGATGAGATGTGCGAGTAACGGGCGTGCACCATTGTCGCCCCGACAAACTGGCCGTCGAGTTCGTGCGCGCTGCCGCTCTCTCTCTCTCTCTCTCTCTCTCTCCTTCTCTCTCTCTCTCTCTGCCTCGTACGTATATCCCACTCCAGCTCCTTTCCTGACTCCCGCCATCTCTCTCGCTCTCTCTCTCTCTCTCTTGTTCGTTCTCTCTCTCTCTCTCTCTCTCTTTCTCTCTGTCTTTCTCTCTCATTATCTCTCTCATTCTCTCTCTCTCTCTCTCTCTCGCTCTTTCTCCCTCACCCTTTCTCTCCTTCTATAAAGCTCCCTCTCTCTTCTTCGGACGCCTGCCAAGAGCCCCGAGCGGGGCTGCGCCAACCCCATTTCTTCTGACCTCCCCGCCAGCCGCCGGCCCAGGGTCAGTTCATCATACCGACTTTCTTCCGGCCAGCCCGGTCGAGCGCCCTGGTGAACCAGCCGGCGTTCGCGCAGATGTCCTCAGAGAAGCCTTCGCCGTAGACCTCCGAGATCTGCTCTTCCCAGCGCTGGATATTGAAGCGCTGCGGATGCGGCCCAGACCATTTGTCTCTCGTGGCTGCGTGCTGCGCCTGCCGCCACCTCCACCACTGCATGCCGCGGCAGCGGAGAACCCTAGCGGCAGGCTAGTCTGGTGGCAGCCGAGCAACATGACCTGCCCAACCGTGGGTTCTCTGGCGGCACTGCTGCACGAGATTGAAGCGATACCTGTCGATCGCCCTGTGCCCCACCTTGTGGAAGAACCGCCACCACTGGTCGACCGACCGCCACGGCGCCCTGCGGAGTTGCAGCCCGTTGGCCTGTTGCCTTGCGCTCCAGCTTGCGGTCTGATTCCAATGGCTCTGCGTTGGCGTCCAGGTGCTCGAGCTCCAGAGAAACGCTGCCCAGACCGTCCTGGGAAGCAGCCCCATTCGGCGCGATTTCGAAATCCAGTCACAAATTGAAATTGACCTCTACTTGAGGAACACCTTGTTTGCTCAAGTTTCCCAGTATGTGATCGCCGGCCAGGCCAAATGTACCCTTGAGGTCGATCACAGTGCCCACAAAGGTGAGGCTCTCCTCCCAAGCCACCTTCTCGTCCATCACGTGCAGCTGTTGGCCGGCTCTGTGCGGGGTGCTGGTCCAGTGCATCTCTCTCTCTCTCTCTCTTTCTCTCTCCCTCTCTCTCCCTCTCTCTCTCTCTGTTTATATATAAATATGCCGCTCTGTATGTATATATACACTCATACTTACAGACATACATGTATATATTTACATGTGACTATGTCGTTATATATCTCTCTCTCTCTCGTTCCCTCCATCTCTCTATTCCTCTCTCTCGCTCTCTCTAGATCTCTCTCTCTCTCTCTCTTTCTGGCTCTTTCTCTTTGTCCCTCTCTCATTCTCCCTCTCTCGCTCTCTCTCTCTCTCTCTCTCTCTCTCTCTCTCTCTCTCTCTCTCTCTCTCTCTCTCTCTTCTCTCTCTCTCTCTCTCTCTCTCTCTCTCTCTCTCTCTCTCTCTCTCTCTCTCTCTCTCTCTCTTCTCTCTCTCTGCTATTCTCTCCCTCTCTCTGCGTATCTATACAGCCACGAATAGGTACACCTGTCTATAGATCAGCCTCTCTTCCCCCTTCTCCTCCTCCTGCTCCTCCTCCTTCTCCTCCTGCTCATCACCATCATCATCATCATCATCATCATCATCATCATCATCATCATCATCATCACCATCACCATCACCATCATCATCATCATCATCATCATCATCATCGTCATCATCAGCACCAGCACCAGCATCAGCATCAGCATCATCATCATCATCAGCATCAGCATCATCATCATCATCATCATCATCATCATCATCATCATCATCATCATCATCATAAACATCATCATCACCATCATCGTCGTCGTCCTCATCATCCTCCTCATCCTACTCCTCCCCATCATCATCAGCATCATCAGCAGCATCATCGGCATCATCCTCATCAGCATCATCGCCATCATCATCATCATCATCATCAGCAGCATCAGCATCATCATCATCATCATCATCATCAGCATCATCATCATCATCATCATCATCATCTGCATCATCATCATCATCATCATCATCATCATCATCATCATCATCATCATCATCATCATCATCATCATCATCATCTGCATCATCATCCTCTGTCTCTCTCGTCCTCCTCCTCCGCCTCCTCCTCCTCTGCGTCCTCCTTTCTCGTCCGCCTCCTTATCCTCCTCCTCCGCCTCCTCCTCCTCCTCTCATCATGTGATGACGGTCATCATCATCAGAGACAGCTTTATCATCATCATCATCATCATCATCATCATCAGCAGCAGCAGCAGCAGCAGCTTCATCATCATCAACATCAGCAGCAGCATCATCAGCGTCATCGTCATCATCATCATCATCACCACCACAACCATCCTCATCATAATCATCAACAACAACATCATCCTCATCATCACCAGCATCCTCCTCATCATCCTCATCCTCCTCATCGGCATCATTATCAGCATCAGCATCAGCATCAGCATTAGCAGCATCATCAGCAGCATCATCATAGATGGCTCCGTGCTCATCGTCATCATCAGCATCAGCGGCAACAGCAACACCATTACCAGCAGCATCATAATCGTCATCAGCATCATCATCATAAACATCATCAGCAGCAGCATCATCAGCATCCTCAGCATCATCATTATCATCATGCTCATTCTCACACTCCTCCTTCTCCTCATCCTCCTCCTCCTCCTCTTCCTCCTCCTTTTCCTCCTCAACCTCACCATAAGCATCAACAACAACAGCATCATCATCAGCATCGTCATCATCAGCAGCAGCATCCTCCTCCCTCTCCTCCACCTCTTCCTCCTCGTTCTTCTCCTGGTCGCATCGGGCCTGGCCTTGCGTCGCTCCCTATCGTACGCCTCGACGACACGATGCCTGTCGCGCTCCAGCGACTTCTCCCCGTCGCCGCCCATGACGGGGCAAGCGCGCGTCCTGCCCAGGCTTGTTGCATGGATCTACTCAAGCCTTCTTCATCCTGCCTGGCGCTACGTAGCCTGAGGGGCCCTGAGACTCGCACGTCGCATTTTTGTTCGCGCTGCGCGTTTTCGCCCGGGGCCTGGCCCCAGGGGCACTCACGGATCGATCCAGCTTGAGAAGTGCCGCAGACAGTTGGAGTCTAAGGCTGCGGTCGTCATCTCTAACGGAGCTAAATTTTTCCCGTGACCTCGGATCTCAGGGAAGGGGGGAGGATGGGCGTTTCGATTTGTGTTGGGCCCCATGGGGGTGGGGCTTCCCGTCGTCACGGCTGGATTCCCTTCGAAAGCCTGGAGGACGCGCCCCAGTTCGAGCCTCGAGGTCCGGGAGCCGAGTTCGAGCAGCGGGAAAGGCGGCCCCCTCCTGCGCCCTTCGCCGGTCTCTCTGGCCGCGCGCGGCATGACCCCATCAGCGCTCACACCGTGTCACACAATGCACGTCGGCCGACGTCGTCATCTGCCTGACGTTACATCTCTTGGCCGACGAGGCCCGACGAGGAGCCGACGCCTGACGAGGAGCAGGCAGAGTGCGACGGCCGGCACGAAGGAGGAGCCAACCGACGCTCCCTGCCAGAAGGACAGCTCTGGCACAGCTAAGTCAGCCGAGGTCCTGCCACAGGGTGGACAGAAGAGAAAACGGCACAAATATCACCTTTCGGAGGGCCGCGCGGATTTCTTGGATCTGCGCTGATCCCTTCTCCCTGGCGCGCCGCCAGTGGAGCCCAGGGACGATCCGAAAAATTCGCGCGGAGCTCCGAACATTTCTATGTATGCAGTCTTCTCTTCTTCGACTGTCGGGCCTCGGCACTGCGTCGCCAACAGCGCCGACCCAGGAACTCCGCGCGGAGCTCCGAGCAACTGCACCGATATCGCCTTTTTCATTCAAAATGAAAAAGTCCTGCCAACGGCAGGGTGAAGGAGCAGGAACTCGGGGGTCCACGAGGAGGCTCCATCGTGGGAGCCCCTGACGGGGTCGTGCAGCACTCCTCGAGGCAGGCTGGTGGCCGCCCTGGCCCGGGCTGGGCAACCGACCCTGAGGTCATGGCGTCGATTTTTCCCAACGGGCGATTTTGCCCTGTTTCGGGCCCCGGGGCCCTCACGGATCGATCCGGCCCGACGAATGCCGCAGAGAGATGTGGTCCAGGGACCGCGTCGAGTGTTTCACGATGTTGCAATTGTTTCGTGACGGCGGATCTCTGGGGATGGGGAGGGGGGAGTAGGAAAGGAGAGAAAATACGACAAGGGATGAGCGGATTGTCTGCGGTTGGGACTCTGGGTGAACGAGGAGGATGGAAGATGCAAAGGAGTAGAAGCAGAAGGGAACGAAATTCGCCGGCCCAACGGGCCAGAGGCGTGCTAGATCTCCGGTAACTTGTTAACAATATTTCTAGTTCGCGCGCGCGGAGCGGCCCCTGGGGGGCCCCGGACGAAAAGTACCCCGGCAAGGTCCCGAGAGAAGCCCGGGAGAAGCCACCAGACCACTCCAGGGGAGGGTATTTTTCGACACCCCTCACGAGGATCGTGGCCTCCGAGGGGGGAGCCGCAATCGACTACCCCCAAGAGCCCCCCAAGAGGCCCTGGGGGCCTCCAAAACGCCGCCAAGGAGCCCCAAGAGACTCCCAAGAGGTCCCCAAGAGGCCCCCAAGAGGCCCTAAAGAGGGCTCCAAGGCCGGCGGCATGAGCGAAGCGATTAAATAATCCCACCTCGCCTGGTGCCCTTGGACACATATCCCGAATACCTTAGACGATCTCCTTTCCAACACCATACAAGCCCCCTTCCTCTTGCCCCTTACACTACTTATCCTTATCTCCTATATCCGAATCGATCCTCCCATCTCTCGTCCTCCTCCTCGTCCTCCTCGCCCTCCTGCTCTTCCCGGTCTTCCTCCTACTACTCCTACTCCTCCTGCTCCTCCTACTCCTCGTCTCATTATCTTCCCCGTTCCCCCTCCCTCTCCCCACTCCATCTCTCCATCTTCCACCCCTTTTCAGCCATTGGCCCGAATGCTCGCATGTTCTTTTGTACTTGGGCCACACCTTCCCGTCTCGTTGGACTTGAGATCCATCGCGTCTTCCGCTCCCTGTGGTCAGTCGATCGCCTTGACGACGGCGCGACATGAACAGACAACTGCCAGGACGTAGCCAGCCTGCTCTACATGCGAGAAGAATGAGTATAACGATACACTCCTCTCCCGCGACTGCAAGCGCAGGACTTGCAACCAACCCGTCAGGCTGTACATAACGAAAGGCAAGGCCAAGCCAGGGTCCGCTGTCAAGGACACCGAGCTGGCGCTGAGCTTGGCCCCGACCACGGAAACGTCCCACAGTGGATTACTGGCCCAGGCGCTGGCGGCCACCGCCGACCCCGCGGCGAAAAAGGTGTTTGCGAACGAGGCGACGCGGGCTGCTACGGCGGCCAAGCCGGCATCCCCCCTCTGCAGCCACTTCGGCGGGGGACGCCGTGAAGAAGACAGCGGGGGCGCGGAGGGGCGCAATCGCCAAGCACGACCAGACCGCGAGTCAGGTCGCGCGGCGCAGGGAAAACCTCCGCAGGGGCGAGGTGAAAGAACAGGAGATGGCCAAGTATCTGGCCGAGGCCGAAATCAGTCGGCGGCTGGCAGCGCAGGTGCTCAGCGAGGCTGCGCGGGGCCAGAGCGGCGCGGGAGCCAGTCAGAGCAAAGCCGCCAATAACACGGATAAGGACAGGGAGCCCATCGAGTTGCACTGGGACCTCACAATCTTTCAGGAGCCGAGGGAGCTGGACTGCAACCAGACGGAGCTCGCCAAGCCCAAGACCCCGGAAGACGAGCTGCGCAGGGCCAAGAACACTTCGGCGCAGAGGTCGGAGGAAATCACGGAGCGGAAGAACGAGGCGCCCGCCATCCAGCAGTCGATCACGGAGCGCATGGCGAAGGATAGGCACGCGGCAACCAAGGCGGCGCCTAGCGCCAGTGCCGCGGGCGACGCTGCATGGGGCGAAGGGGTGCCCCGGGGCCCGAAACGCCACCGGGGGCGGCGGGGCCATCGGCCGAGGAGATCGCAGCTGAGGCGGCG